AATATGAGACGTAAACATCATGAGAAGTTTTTATTTTATAATAGTATAGATAGATAGATATAGACAAATAGATGTTTGTATCTTAAATAACATCATAACAATGCCATGCGCCAAATCACGCTTGACTGGTCATCTAAGGATAACTTGGTCAAACCTACCTCGCCTAAGCATGACTGGAAGACAACCATCCGCCCACATCTGAGGCCCAACAACACTTAGCTCGGCCCAAATCGTGAGATCCATGAAACTCTAGCTCAGCCCAATTGTGCAATTAGACGGCACAAATTACCCTCACATTAACTTAGATATTCTAATAGGTTGTCATATTATTCGGTTTGAAAAACACATCTAATTTTTGGATTAGAGTAACATATTACTATTTCAAAATTTAATTTGGTAAAAATAATAATAAATTATTTGGGTTTTTTAAAATTTCATTTTTGTGTGTTTATTTTTGTCTAATTAATTTTTCTTTTTTCAAAAAAAAATCATCAAAGACAATAATACCCTCTTTTTTTCTCTCCAATTTTCATCTCAATGCCACCACCACCATCACTTTCTCTCTCCAGTTCAATATTGCAGGTGAAACATGTCTTTGAAATGTGAATTGTGAAGTGAATAAAAATGAAATGGTAGAAATTAAAGGGTTGATGGGGAATACAGAGGAGAGGAGTGAGACTAACCTCTGATTTTTTGATTGCAATGAAGATGATGACATTGAGTACGGGTAGTACGTAAGCCTCTCTGTTTGTTAGGCATGTTTGGCCGGGGGAGGGGGGACGACGATCTCGTCTCCTCTGATAGAGCGTGAATGAAAGCTGCTATCATTCACTTATATTTTAGTATTTTTTTTTTTTTGGGGTTCAACAGTAAGAGGTGTATGAATCAATTTATGTGCACCTCGAATAATCCTCTCTTCAATTTGGTTAAAAGCAGGCCATTCATGCCCAAACTAAGGAGTTGACCAAAAAAAATTTTATTGCGAATTGGCCTCAAAAAATTAAATCCTAAACAATTGTGTAAAGAGCATACCACCCATCAACCCTCAAGATTATATTTTAATATTTTTTGTTATAATGTCGGCGCCCACATCTTAGCATTTGTTATCCCATTGGTCTGTGATAGATTTGTTGTGGAAGTCAGATTGCCCTCCTCCCTCCCATTCGTCTGTGAATCTGAAAATCATTCTCCTCTGAACCAGTTGAATGGTAAGAGATGTATCGATAATTTACATGTATCTTGATTAATTTTCATTTTTTTTTTAATTTTATTAAAGGTAAGTTATCCACACTACAATTAGGAAATTTACAAGGAATTTATTTTTTGTGGACTGATTTCAAAAGTTAAATCCTGCACAATTATGCAAGGAGCCTATCTCCAACCAACCCTCAAGGTTATGCTTAAATATTTTTTGTTATAATGGCGGCGCCCACATCTTAGCATTTGTTATCCCATTGGTGTGTGACAGATTTGTTATGATAGTCACTTATATGATATTCAATAATGCTTGTGGCCTCGAATTGGAGACTGGAATTTGTCTGGATTTTTTTTTTTTTGGTTGTTTGGGTTAGTTTTTTTTTTTTTTTTTTTTTTTTTTCTTCTCTTTTCTTTTCTTTTCTTTTTGTAAGAGTGATTATGTATAGGGGTGTGTTAAAAAACTAGACATTCCACACTAATTTAGCAGGTTTGATTTGTTAAGGTAAGTGAGTTGGGTTGAACTGGTTAGGTGATAAAATTGACTGATGAGTTAGGTAATTGGTTAAAATTTATTAATTTTATATAATTTTATATAGTCCATACTATATTTTTATTTCAAATCAACAAGACTCGGAGGAAATTGAAATCAAAGTCATTTCAATTTCTTTGTTATCTTCTTAATTTGAAATAAAAATATAATAGGAACTCGCACAAAATTATATAGAATTACAAATTTTGACCAGCAGCCTAACTGATCAGTCAATTTTATCATTAATCAGTCCAACTCAACTCACTCACCTTATCAAATCACATAGGCTGTTATTTTTTTTAAAAAAAAATTATTTTATTTGTTGGGTTGTGTTGGTTTGTTTGTTTTTTTTTTTTTTTTTTAAGGTGATTATGTGTAGGGATGTGCCAAAAAACTAGACATCTCACACCAACTCATTGTACAAAATTACATAGAATTAATAAATTTTAATTAGCAGCCTAACTGATTAGTCAATTAAGTTGGACTAGTTGAGTGATAAAATTGATTGATCAGTTAAGTTGTTGGTTAAAATTTGTTAATTTTATATAATTTTGTACAAAAAATTAGTGCGAGATGTCTAATTTTTTTGACACATCTCTACACATAATCACCTTTAAAAAAAATTAAAAAAAAAAAAAGAGAAAAGAATTCAAGACAAATTTGAGGTTTCTAACAATTGCTGTATTATATTTTAGCATTTGTTATAATTGGCTGTAGAGAGCGGTCTTTCCATTGGCCCGTGATAGATTTGTTGGGGAAGTCAGAGTGAATCTGAAAGTCAGTCTCCTCTGAACCGGGGATTCCAAAATTGTGACTATGCTATTCAAACTGGACACTTAACCGTGAAACTGTGACCAGTTCCCTACTAGTGGAGTAATAAGAAAACATTTTTTGTGTCAAATACTCTTTTTATTTTTATATATAACAAATAATCAATATCAAAACAATATAAAATAATATATTTATGATATCACAATTCGATCCTTCATTCGGCTTCTTTTCTAATTTGCTCAACGGTTCAACTTTCAAAATATTATTGTTCAAATAAAAAGGAGAAATTAAAACAAAAAATCAGAAAACAAAATAAAATTTGAGTTTTTTATTTTTTCAATTTAAATTATAATAATTAAATTTATTTTTAATCTAAACTATTTGCCTATTTTCATTAAGTAAAATTGACCGATAAGGAATATTAAAGGGATCAAAATAATGCAGATTATGTGAAAATATAAGTATAAACACAATGAATTACTCATGAAAAAAAAAACTAAATATTATTTAAATTAAATTTTAAGAGAGCCAAACTTATGGGGTTTATTATGTTTTTATGCTTGATTTATTTATTGGCTTATAAATATTAGCCAAAAAACTCATAAATAATGATAAACACTTTTCCTTTCGATTTTTGTTCAAATTTTATTTTGATTCCTTATGCTTTAACTTTTGTTCAACCAGGGCCTTTGGCCTAGTGGCTGTGTTTATAGTATAAGATATCGGGTTCAACTCCTATTTAGAAGAATTTGATACCTATTATGGTGGTATTTAATTCTCTCCTGTTATGGAGTGGTATGTAACTAGCATTGGGAGGACCACATGAAAATAGGACTTCAAATTTAAAGTAAATTTTAGTAAATCAATAATATATACTACTTATACATACACACGATTAAAAAGTGCAATTTATTTTTTAAAATTCAAACCTTATCTTTCATCGCTTTGTATTAGTTGCTCAAAGTCAATTGCTGAAGCCTAAGCCTCACATTTGTACTCCTTTCCTCACCAAACCCTCCCAATTATGGCGCATACTATCAGCATGCTTGGTTAGAATTTTACAAAAAAAAATTTTAAAAAATTTTACTTTCTTGTTTTTCGTGTTTTTTTGTTTTTACTGAATTTTTTTAATATTTTAAGCAATTTTTTTTTTACTTTTTAGACATACTTAACATAAATATACTTAAAAAGTAAAAAAATTGTGAAAGAAGCCTTTTAAAAATTCACTAAATACCAAAAATACAAAAAAATATGAGAATTCCGTACAGATTTTGTATTTTTATGTATTTATTAATTTTTTAAAATATTTTTTCACAAATTTTTTACTTTTTAGATACATCTAAGTAAAGTGCATCTAAAAAAGTAAAAAAAAATGTTTAAAATTTTAAAAATATTTACCAAAAACAAAAAAACACGAAAACCAAAAAAATCAGTTTTCAAAAAACTTAATCCAAAAAACTCAAATCAAACACACTGATTATTACTAAGGGTGAATAGCGGATATACTGATTCACCCAAACCGATCGAACCGAACTGATCCGCCGCATTTTTAAACGGATGTGTGATGACGAGTGGACGGTTACGGATTGATTTTTTTCTAATCCGTCTAGTTTTGGACGGATGGCGGATTTGATATTCCTTTAGCTGCAATTGAACCGTCAAACCGTGAGCACCCCTAGTAATTTATAAGACTCTGTGTTTTTAATTTGTTTAGATATTCTATTTATGTTTTCAATTGAAAAAGAGTTTAAATATTCTGTTGAATATATTCTGTAGAAAAAGAGTTTTCAATTTGAATATATTTTTTGAATTGAAAAAAAATAAATGGATTATTTATCCATATTTTTTTATTTTTAAATCTAATTCTAAAAATAATAAATAAAAAAGATGATATATGTTGTTTGGTTTTTGTTTTCAAAAACAGATATAGATGTAACAATACAGAGGCATACGATCTCTACTGCTGTTTTGTTCATGGTTTTAGTGGTTTAAATTGTTTTTATATTTTAAGAATCACAGATTGTAATACTATATATAATACTTTATGTGGATGAGGCATGCTATGATTGTAATATGTGGATGAGGCATGCAGTGATTCTAATATTCTAAAGTTTCAAACTTTATTTCTTTGGATAAGGTACGCAATGATTGTAATACGTTTTTAAATTATTGACTGTAATATTAATTTTTTTTTTTTGGAGGAACTGCACAAGTTGAATTATATTGAAAATTTATAAAATTTTAAACCACCAAACCGATTCGTATCCATCAGTCAATCCGCTTAATCCACATCTGCCGGATTGGCGAACGGATACGGACTAATTTTCTCCAATCCGGTAATCTGGCGAACAGATAGCGGATTAGAGGTTTCGTGGCCGTAACCGATCCGCACTCACCCCTAATTATTACTACTTTTATTTTATTTTATTTTTTTTTAAACTTAATTTTCTTTTTCCCAATGCAGGTAACCTAGTAAAAAACTGTGGATTTGAAATGGATCCACATGTATTCAAGAACTTCTCAACAAAAGTCCCCATTCTTCCCAAAAAAACAAGACCTATTTTCACCAATCCTTGGATGGATCATTGAGTCACTCAAACCAATCAAATATATAGACTCAAAACATTTCTCTGCCCCTTCCAAACTCATTGCGATTGAACTAGTTGAAGGGAGAGAAAGTGCCACTACCAAAGTCATAAGAACAATCCCTAACAAGTTCTACAACCTTACTTGCTCCATTGGAGATGCCAAGAATGCTTGCCATGGATCGATGGTGGTTGAAGCTTTTGTTGCTAAAGAAACCCTAAAAGCTCCCTATGCATCTCACGGAAATGGTGGGTTCGAGAATGCAAGTTTCAAGTTCCAAGCAATTTCAGCTAGAACAAAGCTCGCATTCTACAGTTCATTTTATCACACTAAGGTTCATGACTATGGTCAAATATGTGGCCCTGTCTTGGACAATGTTAGGGTTTTAAGGGTATCTTAGTCATTTTGAGTGGATTTGTTAGCTAAAGTACTAACACTCAAATGGGTTATAAGTAATTTTTATTAGAAAGCTGAGTAATTATCTTTTTTTGTAGATAGGAAGAGTAATGATGTAGATATGGGGAATTGTATGTAATGACCAGGTGGGTTAAAAAGGGGTCATGTGTGAGTCATATTAGAGGGATTTTATTTTTTTTTTTATTTTTTTTATTTTTTTTATTTTTTTTTTTTAAATTTTCTCTCCTTAAATTGGAGGGAAACTTGAATTTGCAATAATACATTTTTTCGAAAACCAAACAAAGATCCTTTTTCAAAATAGAGTTTTCAAATCACTTCTTGGAGAAATAATTCAAAAAAATGGAACCAAACATATCAAATAAACTTACTTGTAAGTGCTTGATGGTATGCTTGAACAACAGCCCTAGCTAAAATCCCTGAGCCCATTACAATCAAATTCACAAGGATCTTTGCAGCCTGAGCAAACAAATATTTGGATCAGTTAAATGTTGTAGTTTCAGTAATATGATCACACTCACGAATACATCCATGAAATTATCATATAGTTATACAAACACACATGAGCATTACTCTCTTAAAGATAAATGAAAGAGATTGTCCGTAAAGATAAATAGTGTAGGTCATTTTAATACATCCATCCTCTCTTTTTCACTCTTTCTAACACACATGTGTGCATGTCCACAAACCAAGCAAATACTAGTAACAAACTCTTATGCTAACCATAGTAAACTGTAGTGTGCCAATACTTCTAAAATAGCCTATTGACTTTCTTTGGATCTAATGATAAAAGAAAAACAATGCAGATTTATACTTATTAATCTCTTCTCCTTCAAACATTAGATTTTAATATTATATTGTATTTTAAACTTGCAACTGGCACATGAAAATACAACTAAAGTAGTAAATGCAAGACACATCAAGGCTGGTAGTAAATTGCCTTATGGAATTCCTAAACAACCTCTCTTGCAACAAAACAATAAGTTTCTTAATTGACTGATATGAGCACCCAACTAAATTTTGCTAATAAGTAGTGGGAAAGCTCTACTTGATCTTGTTAAGATTTTCAATTTCTATCGGTATGTTGTACATACATACTTGTGTTTGTATGCACAACTATATTATATGACAATACATCAGTTGTAGGAAGAAGCGTGAAGCAGGCATAGCTATAAGCATGGTTGTTTACAATTCACGATTTGATTCATACGATTGAATACAAGTTTCAACTAAAATGATTTCATTTGTGCTATTGAAAAAAAAAAAAAAAAAAAAAAAAAAAAAAAAAAAAAAAAGAAAGCTAAAATTGTATAAATAAAAGTGAAATGAAGAAAACAGAGGTAAAAAGAGGATTATCTCTAGGAGCAATGCAATTTATTATTACTTTTTTTCTCTTCTCAGGCATTTCATCAATCATTTAACACAATATCTCACCTATCCATATTCTCCATCAATCACAATACTAAAGAGTATCACGTGTCCGTACTCTGAGACCACTTAATAATCAACTAAGATGTGAAAGAGAAAACAAAAGAGTGGATGAAGAAGAGAAGAAAAGAATGTCAGCAACATCGTTTTAGAACCATATCAGGAATAACAGCACAATACCATTCACAATAGCAATACTATGGCAAAGGATCCACACTCCTTTTTCATTGGCACAATAAAATTAGGCATCTATTTCCCAAAAAAGAAAAACAAAAAACATTGCTCTTTATTAGATTAATAAAAGATTTCTAAATTCCAGGTGAAACATGTCTTTATGGACATATTTGATTAATATGATTATAGCATAAGATTTGAATTATTAATTTATGGATTCACAATTTTATGTTTAATTGTAAATTTTATTAACTAGATTACATGTATAAAATTAACGAATTTTTAATATTGAGATGGATTGAATCACAATTTTTTGAAATATGAATGAAAACAATTAAATAAATATATAATAACTGATTATTTCACTAATTTAATTAAATAATTAATCTTATAGAATTATTAATCCTTACTAACCTCTGATTTTGTGACTGCAATGAAAGTGATGATGACATGAGTAGGGTAGGGGTAGTGAGTCTCTCTGCTTGTTTGGCCGGGGATGACGATCTCCTCTAGTTTGCTTCTCCTTCCTTTGGAAATGAAGAATGCAGCTAGAACCACTGGGCAAGGCTTATAGCAGGGTGTTATAAGCAAGGCTTAATCTCCTTCCAAGTTGTAATAAAGCAATATTTTTGTGACGCAGAGACGACGTCAGGTGGATGATGTCAAAGATCCCCTCCTTGTACTCCCTCTTTGTATTTTTTACTTGCAGGATTATTGGGTCCACTTTTAGACTCAATTTTGATAATCCGAACCGTTCATGTTTTAAGATTTGTTCAGTATATCATACTTGTAAAAAATCAAGTTGATCGGATATCAGAAAGTATGTGTTCGGAAAACTGTTTATTAAATTTAAAAAAAAAAAATAGTTTCTAGTTCAATTTTTTTGAATACATACTTTCTAATATCCGATCAACTTGATTTTTTAAAAGTATGATATACTGAACAAATTTTAAAATATGAACAGTTCGGATTATCAAAATTAAACCTAAAAGTAGACCCAATAATCCTATAAATAAAAAATGATGCAAGGGAGGATCCTTGCACGTTCGGGTTGACCTGGATGTAGATCTTTGACTTGCCATTCTCATCACTGGTCCCGGTGCGTATCTTTGTGGCCTCCGGGGGCACTGTTGGATTTGCAAATGATATATCCCCCGTTGGATTTGCAAATGATATATCCCCCGTCGGATTTGCAAATGATATCTACCCCTTATCCGTTGGATTAGATTTGATCTAACGGTCACCTTTCTCAAAAATATTACTTTTAGAAGGATATCTACCCCTATAGCTGTCTTCACACGTTGAACTTGAGTCTCATTTGAGTTGCAACCTCTTTGCGCCCAAATATATTTAGGTTTTTATCTTCTTTCGGGTTGAAATACATGGATTGAGCTTGACCCAATATTTTTTCCTTCATAACATACATTAAGGATGTGTTTGGTAACGTTTACGTTTTCAGTTTATATTTATAAAAGTTTTATAAACTGATTTTTGTTTATTTTTTGAAAAACATAAACTACAAACGCGTTTGGTAATTGATAAAATGTTTAAAAAAATTTTAAAATATAAAAAAGAGTGAGAAATGACAAGTGGCGGTGGAAGACGATGGTAGAAAGTGGTGACGGTGGGTGGTGGGTAGCTGGTGGTGGTGGATGGGTGGGTGGGTGGTAGCGAGTTGGTGGTGGTGGTGGTGGTGACGGCGGCGGCGGCGGGTGGTGGTGGCAGGTGGGTAGCGGATGGTGGGTGGTGGTGGGTGATGGCGGGTGGTGGGTGGTGGCGGCGGTGGTGGCGGCGGGTGATGGGTGGTGGTGGCAAATGGGTGGTGGTAATGGGTGGGTGGTGGTGGGTGGTGCTGGCAGGTGGGTGGTTGGTGGTGATAGGTGGTGGTGGTGATAAGTTCACCATTTAAAAGTGTAACAAATAACGAATAATAATAAGAATAATAATAATAATAAATAAAATAACAAATATCAACCCTAAGTTCAAGAAAACAAAA